CTTGCTTGACGTGGTGAGCGGCGTCGAGGGATCCACCAAGTGCGATTTGGAGGAGTCCCGGCTCAGGGCCGTCGCCATTCTCGATCTGGCTTTTCTGATCCACGTTATGTTTGTTCTGCTGATTATATTTGTCATTTATGCTGTCATTGCCAAGGCTGTTGGCGTGCGGAGAATTGGGTCTTATGAAGCTTTACCAGCTGCTGCTATTGGGGAAACCAACCATATACAGATGAAAGCATTGACGGGCACCCAGGCTTAATCTCTTTATTTGGTTGGCTTATCCAATTCGTGTTTTTCAACTCTTGTTCTTATTGTAGCTGTGCTGCTTCATTGCTGTAAAAGATTTTGTGCATTTTTCTTACGTGCCTCAGTATCAACGGAATTTTCTTGTATAATCTGACCCCCCTCCCCGGCTGAAACTTTTTACAAATGCTTCAGGTACTCGATACTTTTTTAGGATAGCTATCTTGACGGGCTACAGCGCTTGAATTCTTCCTTGAATTAGTGTACCAAACATGCTGTTGGCTTTCGTACTTCATTAAATCAAAGTGGTGCAATATTCTTCCTTACTTTATTGCTGTTTGAACTGGGTGCTTGATTCCTTGCTGGGATACCATTGTTTCGTTCTGATGCTTTTTGGGTACCCTTAACTTGAATTTGATATCGGATACACAGCATGTCTTTTGTATTCTGTACTGAAAAAACTGTGATGCTTGAAAGATGATTCCCTCCTCATTGGGTTTGCTCATGGTCTCTAGTTGAATAACTTGCTTTGACTACTTGAGCTTATTTGATAAGTTTGGTTTCTCAAATTCTGAAGTGTGAAATGCTGAGGAAAGAAAGATGTTTGTTCTTTCTAGGGGCTTGATTCTCATGTCTTTGCCTACAGAGTCTAAGCATCAGTTGATGAATTCTTAACCACGCCCACCCGTGCTGCTCCTCTCGAAGCCAAAACCTGAATTAGGTTGGTTGTTTGCTTCCAATCAAGTGTTCATTTCTCCCTTCTTACATTACTGCCATGCTGATGCTATTGCTGAGCCTATCACCCCCTGGGTTGGTCTTGGTTTTATGTTGGAACAATTATCAGCTGGGATTGTCTGTCAAATGGAAAAGTTCAATTTTCAGAATTGAAACTAACATTCATTTTCGTGGTACTTAAAGGGAAGGGGTTAATGCAACCATGGAGATGTTGATAGTTATCTTGGCCTTTTGGGCAATGTTATGTTTATGGGTTGGTGTCTTGATGAAAAGTTCAATTTTGGGATATAGATGGATTGAAATGGAACCAGCCTTTTCTTAATGTTATGGTGCCTCCCTCCCTCCCTCCCTCCCTTCCTCTCTCTCTCTCTCTCTAGAGATAGGAAACAGAAAATTGGTAAAGTTTGAAACTAGCAGGTAGCTGTAGAGTACTTAATGTTGTGGGTGTGGCCATGGGCGAAGAATAGAGGAATGTCAGGAAAATGTATCCCTCCTTTACACCTGTGATATATCTGCTCAATGCTGATCATTAGTGAAGCAATTATATCCACTCCACTTGTGTCCGGTTGGGGCTGGGAAGGGTCTCCTTAGTCCTCTGTGAAGCCAGGATATGTATATAATTCCAGCATTGTGGATGGCTTCAACAAGCAGTTGTAGTGCTATGATTGATTGCTCTGCCAGTTCCAATGAAACTATACATTGTAGTCATTCATTTTGGTTCTAATTCGTGGAGTCTTTTGGTCATACTATTTTAGAGGTCTAAGTTTGAATCTTCTGGTGAACTTAATACTAAAAATCTTTAATGTTTTTGTTTGGTGTTTTTCAAGGAGGTTGAAGATTTATCCATTTAGATTCGGAATGAAGAATCTAAAAACAATTGAATTTTGGCCCTTACTATGAGTTAAAAGTGGATTCATAAAGAGGATGAAACAATATAAAGCAACCGTTAAATTTAGTACTTACCTAGCTGATAGAATTGTTTATGGATCAAGAACAAAGTCTTAAAATCAATAACAAAATTGAAAGTTATGGTTAAATAAACACACCACTAAAACTTTAGAGTGTGTTTGGATTCAATAAAAAATAAGGGCATGTTTGACTGGTAATTCGGAGTCTTGAAAATCTGGACAACATTTTTATGTTTTCATAATTCAATACATTATTACATGAAAATGTTTTCATAATTCAATACATTATTACATGAAGAGGATAAACACTTTGATATATTATTTCTATTTCATGTTATAAATTTATTATTTTTTTTTTAAATTGCAACATGTAAATTGTAAACATAATTTATTATAAATTGTAAAATATTATAAAATAATAATTCTACAAAATTTATAACCAAAATGTTAATAAGTTAATAAATATTATTCTATATTGAACTAAATATTTAGATGGTAACTCAAACTAGTTTACAAATATATTACTAGACACATCTGTCTAACAAAAATTGAGATTCAATTTCTAAATCTACTACGAAACACATATCTAAAAATAAATAGGAATATAATTCTATTTTTCATTGTTCTCAGATTTCTGCTTTCAGATCACCAACTAAACGCACTCGAAGAACTCGTTTCGTAATGTTTATGTTTCTTGTTTCTATTTATTCATTTTTTAATAAAGAAAAATAAATTACATGACCCTAATATCTATGAATTCAAGTATAATAAAACAATATTTTTATTTAATATTTTGGAACAAATTAGAAATGAGAACACAAAAGAATAAATTTATTTTTATTATTTCTAAAATTTCTATACAATTTAAAAAATGTCCCATAAAAAAAAAAGAAACATGACCAGTTGTAAAATACGTAAACTCATCGAGACCATTGAAAACGAGAAAACGAGAAAACGAAAACGTTTGGTAACGGGGTCAAAGTATTTTCGTTTAACTTGACCAAATAAAGCAGGGCTAGAGTTACACGCGTGTGAGGTCTGTCCTGGTTAGTGCAGTCCGGAGCTTACCCGGTCCATTTGAACCGACAGTTAAGAACGCCGGCCGCGGCTTCCCCAACCCACCCTCACAATCACACTATTCTCTCCGTTCCCAAATTGACCGCTCAACTTCTCCTCTCATTCACTTTTTTCTTTAATTAATTCATTATTATTTCATCTTCTCCCTTCTCCCCTCTCTGCAATCTACTCCGCTTCCCCATTTCTCTCTCCTTCTCCGGCGTCCGACGCTTTTCTCCACATTTCGGATTCCCGTGGGAGGGAACAAGCAAAGCAACTCCATCCCAATTCCAAGCCCGCGATTTCCCAATGCCCCACTTCCCAGATTCCATCTTCATCTTCTCAACTGCGCCCCATCTGATTCTGCACTGACCCATCTTCCCCACAGGTAATCTCTTTCCTTTCTGCTTGATTCTTTACATTTAGGAATTAGATCCGTAGTTGTTTCTTCCTCAGATCTTGATCACCAACTACCCTTTTCATTTCTTGTCAGCTTTACGAGTAATTGGCATTGTCTCTCACTTTCATCATTTGGTTGTCTACTTCTGTGTTGCTTTCAGCCGCAGGCTGGGATCCCAAGCTGTATGCAGATTCGCTCACACGTCTTTAATTTATGGGGGATTGGGTTATTGGAGCTTTCATCAACCTCTTTGGCAGCATTGCCATCAACTTTGGGACCAACCTTCTTAAATTAGGCCATAACGAGGTTCTAACAGATTTCTCTTTTTCTCATTCAATCTTGGTCTACACTGTGACTGAACAAACCGCTCTTCGCCTTCTTTTTATTCCACATTTTTCTTGAGGATACAATAGTCAATGTGTCATGCATCATGAAACATGAATGTCATCTTTTTCTTCCAAAAGATAAAATTCCACTTCAAAGTTCAAAGCTATAAACTTGTTACACTAATGGTTTGGTAAGTAATAGCCCATTAAACATCTAAGTTGAATGTTTAGTGGGACTCAATTCGGTCGCATTTTTCCATACTTCTGGGTTTCGAATATTCTTTTTGGCATTGTTTCATGCCGCAACGTTGTTACTTGTCACATGTCCTGTGGTTTTTAAAGAATATACTTTTGCAGAGAGAGAAGCATTCTATGCTAGAAAATAATGGCCCTAATGGAAAGACACCAATTAAGCCCATTATATACTTCCAGACTTGGAGAGTTGGTAAGTGATTTTCTGGTGTTAAATTCCTTTTATGGCTTTATGTGTTATACCTTTTTTGGAAGAAGCCTACATTTCAAACCTAAAGCCTTATTTATAAGTTTTGGCGTGCAGGTATTACATTTTTCATTCTTGGAAATTGCCTTAATTTTATTTCCTTTGGATATGCTGCCCAGGTTGGTAGAAATTACTTTATCCCATTTCTTAATATGATTATATTGGTATTATAAGTTCATCTATGTGGATTTTTTAAATTCTTTACAACTTTTACTGGATGTTTTTATTTTCTATTTATTGTGGATTTCCTGTTCCACCTTTTTTTAATTCCCGTTGTCGTCCCCCTTCTCCCCACCCCTACCCTGCAGTCTCTTCTTGCGGCACTTGGATCTGTACAGTTTGTGTCCAATATTGCTTTTGCATACTTCGTCCTCCACAAGATGGTTACTGTTAAGTATGTAAATCTCTGTAGTGGAACGTCTTCAAAACCATGAACATGAAGGCACATAACATTTTTTCATTATTTTTCTTCCTAATTTAATGGTTCATGACTATATGGCTTCTTTTGCAGGGTAATGGTTGCCACTGCTTTTATTGTTCTTGGAAACATTTTTCTAGTTGCTTTTGGCAACCACCAGTCCCCTGGTAGATGCCATGCTTTTGATTTATTTATCTTTTAAGTTCTAATGGCTTGTCCTTCTATATGAAATGTCAAGAATGTCATTTGAGTTTTCCACGAAGTTTGTAATGATGAGGGGAAATGATCACTTAATAGACATCTCAAAACACCATCTGTTAAATTGCTAGAAATCAGCTGCCCAATATCTTGCAACCTGCATTATGATGGTGGTATATTTTTGTTCAGCACTTGTGACTATTCAGAATCACTTATCCTCTGGAAAAAATGTAATTAAGATTGCGTCAACAATTGATGTTGGCTAGAATTTAGAAATTAAACAAATAATGAATGCCTAATTTTTGCCATAGTTGATGCCTTCTACTTTTCCATTGCTATGAATAAAAAGATGACATATTTTATCTTTTGACTAAATATGTTGATTTTGGTAGATTAATGTTCACATTTCAGTTTGTTTAATGAGATCAATGCATTTAGTATGCCAAAGTTTACTGACTGATAAGATGCACGTACTGCATTTTCTTTAAGCAACGATACCTTTGACTCAATGCTAAGTAGTCTTTCATATGCATATTCCTTTGTCGTTATGCTGTGTGATTTAGATCCCAATTCTATGTGAAGATATTCAAGTGCCATGTAGTTAGGTTGTATAATGAGGCGGTGGTTTAACATAGAGAACTGGTTGTTGCTAATAACATTTTATTTTGCATTGAAGCCTACAAGTGTTAACCTCAATATCTAGTAGATTACTAACCAAAGAGGATTTCTTTCTGTCCACTACTAAGATGAGAAAAATTAAGGGGAAAGGGCATAAGAACAGGATGGTGGTGCAGAAAACATTTGATGCAATGAATTATTTGATCATAATCTGCTTGTAAATAATGAATGTTAATTTTTAGTCTTCTCTTTTCAGTGTACACTCCAGAACAGCTGGTGGAGAAATATGGAAATATAACTTTTCTTCTATACTGCGTAATTTTGATCTTGATTGTTGCTTTACATCACTCAATCTATAGGTTAGAATTTAATTGAACTCTTTTCTTCTTACTTTATATGAGGATTTTCATTTTGACCAATAGTTTCCCCTATGGAACATGCAGAAGGGGAGAATTGTTACTTTCTGATTCTGGACAAGATCTTAGACCGTATTGGCATATGCTGCTACCATTTTCCTATGCTATAGTTTCAGGTGCAATAGGCTCCTGCTCAGTCTTGTTTGCAAAATCTCTGTAAGTTCCCTGACTACTTTGTCCTTTTTTCTTGTTGGTACTGAACCCACTTGAATTTCTTGTTTTCATTCTCTTTCTAATGTCATGCTATCTGTTTTAGCTCAATACTGCTTAGATTGGCCATGTCTAGTGCTTACGAGCTGCATAGCTGGTTTACATACTCCTTGCTGCTTTTATTTCTCAGTACTGCTGGATTTTGGGTAAGTTCACAAATCACTATAGGATTAAGAACTCTACTTTTCCTTCTTTCATGTTTTTATGTTATTCTAGTGATGCGAAAAAACATCATTTCGTTAACCTTTAAGTCCATTATGAATTTCTTATCTATTTCCGCAGATGGCCAGGTTAAACGAAGGACTTTCCCTGTTTGATGCAATCCTTATTGTTCCCATGTTTCAGATTGCTTGGACTTTCTTCTCCATATGTACAGGTTTTATATACTTTAAAGAATTCCAGGT